GTCCAGCTTCAGCTCACTGAAGAGGAATTATTACCATACTTACCACTTATATTGCCCTGTATTGATTGCAGTGCACTTGGAAGTAGCTATAACTCTGGGAATCCAGGGCAGATATTGGGAAGAATTCAAAAGGCTCTGATGGCAGAGGACGTAAGTACCACGTGAGTTCTCAGCCAGCCCAGAGTCTCTCCTTATGACATGGGCTTCTCACTCTTGTTTCCTCGCTTTCCAAGAGTGTTGTCACTGGATATCCTGCTGGAGAGTTTGGTGAGTTACTCTGGAAACCTACATAATATTTCTATTTAAACAGAAAAATCCATCTTTTAAATAAGGTGATACATTTTTAAAGTGTTTTTATTGTTTTCCTTTTTCTTTCCTTTTCCTAAAAGTAATACAAGTCCCTTGTTAAAAATTTTTCCGACATTATAGAAATATGTAAAAATGTTGCTTTGATCAATGTTTTACTTATTAAGGTAGAAAGTAGAAGAAATACAATTAAAATAAAATATAATAAAAGTAAAAATGTAACAGGAAAAAAAGAAAATCTCACCTCCCCCTTCCCTCAAGATAACCTCTGTTAATAATTCAATGTAAAGTCCAGCATATCTTTTCTTCTATGCACACACTTAATTAGGCAATAACTTTTAATGATCTCTGCACTATATATACATATGTATTTTTTTTGGTGAGGAAGATTGGCCCTGAGCTAACATCTGTTGCCAATCTTCCTCTTTTTGCTGAGGAAGATTGGCTCTGAGCTAACATCTGTGCCCATCTTCCTCTATTTTGTAGGTGGGACGCTGCCACAGCATCGCTTCAAGAGCGGTGTGTCGATCCACACCCAGGATCTGAACCTGCGAACCCTGGGCCACCAAAGCCGAGCGTGCAAACTTAACCACTACACCACCAGGCTGGCCCTGCACTATATTTTTGACAACTATCTTACATCAAGCAGTAGTGAGAAGAATGACCAATACTCTTATCAGATTTTTAAAAATAATTCAAACTCAGACTTTAGACAGGGAGAAATTGAAGCTCCAAAGAAAATGGATGGGAAAAAAAGCCCGTGAGTGTTTGGAACTAGCAAGAGCTAGCGCTACCGGAATTCTGGGAACTGCAACGCTAACAGGTTTCTAGCTGTCAAAATTTGAAATAGAATCTACGGGGGCCAAAAGGTTTGAAATAAGAATGCGGTCAGATGCATTGCTGGTATGGACTTTCAGCTGACTAAAACAAACACCAAAATAGCAACAGTCTGTCTCAGATGAACTTGCTTTCCCAGAAGCCTCTTTTGCCTACAAGGCATTTCTATTACATTTTCCTAAAAGGGAATCATGCTTACATTGAAACAATAGTCCTGCTCACATTGCTTTGCCCGGAGCCCCCAAGGTCCAGCTCTGTCTTGCTGATTTAGAAGTAGCACCCCTGTCTTGCCAAGACACTGTGCTCTAAATGTTTGCAAGTCACCTGTTGGGAGCTTCTGTCGTGCATTCCCATAGAAAACAGTCTAGCTGGGATTTGGGGGTCCTAGAGCAGGTCAGTTAATCAGATTGCACCAGAAGTACCTAATTGTGTGCACTGCAGAAATATGAGACCTTGGTAACATTGTCTTTAAAAATGTGTTTTCTTTAAGCGTTCTATATTGAGATGCTTGGAATGTGGTTCTAATCTCAGGGCCAGGAACTCACCATGCTTGCGGCTGTGCAGGTTTCCCAGGCTCTGGAATCTCCCTCTCCCAGGACCTGGGACAGAGCAAGTCACAGGGGCCTGGGGCCAATGAGGAATGGGGTTGTAATCCCCCCATAAACTCACCTTGTCCAAGGAGCTCTCAGTTCCTCCTCTCCACAGTGTGTGTCTGACAAGGAGCCTCAAAATGCAAATTGCTCCCCCAAGGCAAAGATTACCCATTGGTTTGCTTTAATTGCTCTTCTGCCCTCCGTATACTGGGAAAGTGAGCTTTCACGTAGGAAGGAGAAAAGTTGTCCTTTACTTTTGGGAGTTAGAAAGGAGGTAGAGGTTCGTGAGCCACATCCTCAGGGATAAAAGCAGACAGGGTTTGTAGTTACCGTCTCAAAATGGAGACAGGCTCTAGAGTACAAGAAGCTGTAACATCCCTAGATTTAAAGATGCTTTATCTCTCTTCTGTTCCTTACTGTGGATAGTAATATAATCCTTAAAATACAAAGTTTCTGTGCTTTTTGAGGGGGCAGCAAGGATGGGAGAGTTGAGGATCCTGCACTTTTTCTCTCTAAGCAGTCTTGGGAGAACAGAATTCCAAGTGTTAAGGTGGATGGTGTGGATTTTAGAGGTGTAAACTGTGAGAGTAAGGCAGAGAGAAGACCATCTCCAAGTGGAACCAGCAGCAGCAGCAGCAGCCTCACCCGGGAACTCGTTAGACATGCAAGTCCTCAGATCCTATCCTAGCCCCACTGAACCAAAAACCCTGGGGTTGGGGCCCAGCAATCTGTGGTCAATGAGCCCTTCCAGGTGATTCCAATTATCAAGCTCATGCTTGAGGACCACTGGGCAATGAATAAGGACTTGAAGGAGCTGCTTTTAAATCCTGGCTCTGCCACTTAACAGCTATGTGAGTTTTATAACCACGGGCCCTCCAGGACCAGTTCAATTGACCCCATCTTATCAACAGAGTAATTAAGAACTGTCTTTCAGGAGCTGAGACCCCTTGTCCAGTTCAGGCTGGTTGAGACCACCAACCCATCAACTGGGCCTGTGCAAATGCTCCATAAGTGACCTTTTTAATGTCAAGGAGCTAAAAACTCCACCCTCAGGTCACAGTGACACCGCCATCTTGTGAATATTCGTCCTGTGAAGAGGCATGAAGCTTGACGATGCTTGCACATGTCATCAATTACCTCACTTCTCCTTACTTCCAATCATCTCTCTCCACACTTCAGACCGCCCTGCCCTTCATCTCATAAATTGTGCCCCAAGCCCTGGATCGGGGAGACAGATCTGAGGGCACAAGCCCCCTGTGTCCTTGCAGAGCAATATTGCAAAATAAAGCTACATTTCTTTTCCCAAAAGCTGATGCCATAATAATTGGCTTTTTAAATGCCCATTGGGCAAGAGAACCCCAATTTTGTTCAGTAACAAGTTGAGCAAGTTAGTTACTCTTCCTGTTTATGGAAAAGATTAAATGAGATAATATATTTGAAATATTTAGTACAACACCAGACATACAGGAAGCACTCAATAAACGTTAGCTGCTGTGGTCACCATTACGTATGAGGGGAAGGAAAAAGGATAAGTCCTAAAGGTGCTCGACAAGTTAGCACAGCATTTACCAGTTTAAAGGGCGATTTCAGACTCTGGCATTGTGCTTCCAAAGAATCCAAAGTTTAGACAAATTCTGTGTGATTTCGTCCACACAGAAATTTGAACAGAGCAGTAGTTCTCCACCTGGCTGATTATCAGAGCCCCCTTGGAGCTTTTAAACTGCCCTGCCTGGATCTTCAGAACCATAACCTTCAGCGGTAGGCCTTGGGCATGTATAATTTTTTACATCTCCATAGGCAACGCTGCAAAACAGCTCCTGGAGTTGAAGGGGATAATAACTAGAGCTGACATGCATTAAGTATTTATTTGTGCCAAGAACTATGCTAATTTCTTTATTTACATTGCTTCATTTAATTCTCACAGCAGCCCTATGACATAGGTACTATCACTTTCTTTATTTTATAGATGAAGAAACTGAGGTATAGAGAGCCTAAATAACCCAACCAAGTTCACATAGCTGAGAAGTGGTTTAGGCTCTGAGCCCAGGTTTGAGCTATTAATTGCATTTAACTGATGCGAAAACTGAGGCATTCATTTACTCGTTCATCCAACATTTATTTATTACGCATCACCAGGTAATATGCTGAGAGCCAGGGAATATAGAAATGAATAAAGAGGGGCGGGACTGGTGGTGTAGTGGCTTAGTTCGGCAGGCTCCGCTTCAGCCGCCTGGGTTCATGAGTTCGGATCCCCGTGGCATACACTACTTGTCAGCCATGCTGTGGCAGCAATCCACATACAAAGTAGAGGATTGGCAACAGATGTTAGCTCAGGGAGAATCTTCCTCAGCAAAAAAAAAAAAAAAAAAAAAAGAATAAAGATCTCTATCCCCATCCTCAAGAAGTTTATGGCTTTTTTTGTTCAGAATGAACAAATGGCAGACAGATTGCCTCATTTTAAAAGATGATGTCATGCGTCTGTGCTTGAGAGGCTGAAAAGATTTTCTGTGACTACCAGCCTCCTCCTTTCAATGGCCATTTACGAAATCCACCACCGTTTGCAAATCAGCCTCCCAGACTGAAGAGCAGGCCTGTCTGCCGGCTGCCAGCGTTTCCCCATGTGAGCGGCTCTAGGGTGGCCTTGAAGCTCTGCGTTGGCAACCCCTCCGAGTGGTCCTCAGTTCTCCCCACCGGGTTGTATTATTCCCTCCAGCTCAGCGTGCTGGCCGTCCACTCCCCTCGGTAGGCCCATCAATCAAACCGTGGGGAAGGAGGCGCGTCACCGCGGAGCTGGCAGGCTGGCTTTCTCCCAGGGATAAACCTGTCACTTACACCTAAAGCGACGACTGTTAGGAAATTTCCCAGGAAAGTAGAGAGAGAAGACTGAGGCCTGCTTTTGAGAATCGTGAAATGTTAGCGCTGGCCAAACCGTTGGACCTGGTGTAAGGCTGATCAGGAAGTCTCAAACCAGGCTGGGACCGGGCTCCTGGCGCCATTTGCGACCCCTCACTGCCTCCTAGAGTCGGGGCTGGGCATTGTTTCAAATGGACACAGTGTTCAAGTACAACGATCATCACCTTGGAGCAGGCAAATGATCCTCCCTGGGAGACGGCCTTGGCCCCGGGGCTGGGCTGGGGACACACTGTGCGGCCACCACATCTTCCCCGCCCGACCGCGAAGGCGGAGAGAGGGTCTGGGGGCTCCGGCCCTTCCCCGGCCCCGTATTCAGCTTGCACGGGTGAGGTGGCAGCGGAACCTTTCTTCTCCGCCCCGCTCTCGCTTCCGCCCGGGCCCAGTTGGCGCCGGACGCAGTCGTGGAGGCTTGTCAACATGGAGGCTGCGGGCGCAGGGACTGGAGAGGCGTCCTCTCGACTGGAGGCTTCCGGGTCCTCTGAGGACCGGCTTTTCCTGGTTAAAGGTGTGGGGAGGCGCGGGCGTCGGGGCGAGCTCGCCCGGGGCCCTGGCCTGCACTGGAGGGGCATTCTCGCACACGCTCCGCCCTGGGAGACCTTGGCGTGGGTTGGCCTGAGTTGAGCCGGTGGGTCGGGCGGCCCGGGGTGGGGTTTTGGGGTCTCCCGTGGGCTGGTCCCGCGAGCTGTTGTGTGGGTGCGGCGTTTCCCTCGTCCCCTCTGCCGTTTCTCTCTTGCTGTCCCTTTTCTAACTCCCACTGTCTTTCCTCCCGGGAAACCTCACGCCCCGGTCCTGGGGAGAAGCTTCTCTGCGCGGGGGAACCTCAGAGTGACCTCAGGTGCCAGAGGTCGTGAGGTCACACAGGTTTCCCAGCCGCTCTCATTTACCTTTGCAAGAGCTTCTCAGCTATTGTTTCTTGAGAATTTCAGAAGTGATTTAAAATGTAGTTTAGGGCTGGAGTCCGTGGCTTAGGGTTATGTGCGCGCTCTGCTACTGGCGGCCTGGGCGCCCAATGCGCACCAGACACACCGCTTCCCCCGCCACACTGAGGCCACGTCCCACATACAGCAACTAGAAAGATGTGCAACTATGACATACAACTATCTACTGGGGCTTTGGGGGAAAAAAGGAGTAGGATTGGCAATAGATGTTAGCTCAGAGCTGGTCTTCCTCAGCAGAAAGGAGGATTGGCATGGATGTTAGCTCAGGGCTGATCTTCCACACACACACACACACACACACACACACACACAAAAAGAGTAGTTTAAATAGTATCTGAAACTTGTGTACATCTTTTTAATTTTAGAATTTTTTTTTCTTTTTTTCTTTAATCTCTCTCCCCACCCTCCATGCCCTATCCCTAAAACTTGGCAGGTGGAATTTTCCTGGGTACTGTTGCTGCAGCAGGAATGCTAGCTGGGTTTGTAACAACGTTATCATTGGCTAAAAAGAAAAGCCCGGAATGGTTCAATAAGGTTTGTGACACCAAAATCTATTCATAGCATTGTTATTGTTTACAGATAAATGGTCATTCTTTTGCATAGGGAAAGTAAAGAAAATGTTGATGGCCTTTCTTATTGCTTTAAGAAGTAAACCTATACATAACTCATAGATTCAAGAAGTGTACAAATTAATCAACGGTCTTTATTTTCTTTTAAAAAGAAGTACTTATTATGTGCTTTCTTAAATTTTAGCAGAACAAGACTTTGAAAGCTCATCCGGTACCTTTCCTATTCACAACATGACTTTAAATCTAGGTAATTCACTCTCAGTTGTAAGAGGTCCCAATATTTTATGTACCACTAAGAAAGAAAAAATGATGCTAATTAAACTCTTGACACAACACTGATTGCAAGAGGCATTTTTAATCTCAGAGATGTTAAAACGTTGAAATAAAGTGCGTCTTAGTATTGATGAAAAACATTGGTCAGCTCCTTGAATCCTGAGACCATACTTGCTTGTGCATTGCTGCAGCCCCACTCCATAGAAAAGTGCCTGGCACATAGTAGATGCCCAGTAAATATGGGTTGAATGACTACAACCTACTTAGGGCAGGAAATCCTAACTCCATGAGCAAGATTGAGCAGTCACTCTGTTGTGTTCACGTGTACCTCATTTCCCCAGTTGATGGGAAATTTCCTTCCCATTTACTTGTATTTACTTGTTCTTATAGATTGTCCTGTCTTTGCCCTCCCCGCCTCATATGGTTTATTTATCCATTACTTCATTGCTTCCACAGATGTGAACTCAGGATCTTTTATACGTCAGGCACTGTACTAGGTAGGTACAAGAGATACAAAAATGAATAAAACATATCTGTCCCTCAGGAAGCTAGTGTCTGGTACAGGAGACAGATATTAAACAAATATTTACACAAATAACTATATAATTACAGTTTGATGCTTGCTTTGGGAGAACAGTGTTATGTGAAAAATAAACCAGTTGAATTCCTCTTTCCACTTATATTTATCTTTAATAATCTAATAATCACACTTAAGCCTTATGGACACCATAATGGAAAGAGACCCCATTTAAAGTGTGTTTGGATCCCCCCTGGATACTCAGGGCTGTTATGGAAGTTCCCAAATCACTGCTCTGAACCTCGTGGTCATTCTCCTTCTATATTATAGAATATTTTCAGAGAAGAAATATACCTTGTGGCAGAAATCAGTAAAACCTGCCTGATAGTGGTGCTTTAACAGTGGAATTTTGGGGGCCGGCCCCATGGCATAGCAGTTAAGTGCGCGCGCTGCGCTGCTGGTGGCCCGGGTTTGGATCCCAGGCGCGCACCGATGCACCGCTTGTCAAGCCATGCTGTGACGGCGGCCCATATAAAGTGGACATGCTGTGGCAGTGTCCCATATAAAGTGGAGGAAGATGGGCACGGATGTTAGCCCAGGGCCAGTCTTCCTCAGCAAAAAGAGGAGGATTGGCATGGATGTTAGCTCATGGCTAATCTTCCTCAAAAAAAAAAAAAAACAGTGGAATTTTCGTTGATTTCTAAGCCTAAGTTACCATGTTAAACTTTGGGTCACAGATCTTTTTGAGAATCTAATGAAAGCTAGATATTCTCTCTCAGAAAAAAAAAACACATATACACGTTCACAACTTTGCAGATCTAAGATTTGATTATCACACACGCCCTTTATGGTTTAACACAGTGGTTTTCAAACTGTAGTCCACAGAACCCTGGGCATCCCTGAGACCGTTTGGGGGATCTGTAAAGTCAAAACTATTTTCATAATAATACTAAGACATTTGTGCTGATGGTTCAGAAGCAATGGGGGGTAAAACTGCTGGAGCCTTGGTGTGATCAAGGCAGCGGCACCAAACTGTACTAGCAGTCATTGTGTAAAGCCATCATTGCATAAGAATGTCCTTGTTGAAGGAGTAAAATTATTATTATTAATTGTATTAAATCTTGACCGTTGAGTATACTTCTTGAATATTCTATTTGAAGAACTGGGAAGACGCATAAAGCACTTCTGCTGTATACCAAAACAAGATGTTTTTCTCGAGGAAAAGCAATTATGTGATCCAGTTGCACACTGAACTAGCTGCTTTTTTTCATGGAATATCATTTTTACTTGAAAGTACAACTGACAAACTATAGTTATTCAGAAGTGGGTATTTGGCAGACATTTTCTTCAAAATGAACAAAATGAGCCTGTCTCTGCAATCAAGCAATTGTCAGTATTTGTTGCCAATGATAAAATTTGAGCTTTCAAGTGAAAATTAGATTTTAGAAAACTTGTATCTGCCATTGTAAGCTTGACAGCTACTCAATACTTACAAGCTTTTCTGATGAGACTGGTATTGATATTAATGATGTGATTTTTAAATATTTAATAAATGGTGTCAGTGTTTGAAAGATCTGTATAACTTGGTAAATTAATACTTTCTGAATGATCATGATGCATGCATAAAAGCTCCAAAGTGCAAAACAGACTAACGGATTTTAATGTAATAAAGTACAAAAAATACATTGATATGACTTCAGATTCCATATTGCAGCTAACCTTTAAGAAACTGTTTGCTGAATTTTGGTGTAGTATCAAAGAAGGAAGGCTATTAAAATACTCCTCCCTTCTCCAATCACATATGTGTGTAAGGCTGAATTTTATTCATATACTTCAACCAAAAAACATATTGCAACAGATTGAATACAGAAGCATATATGAAAATCCAGCCGTCTTATTACAGCAGACATTTAAAAGATTAACAAAAATATAAAGCAGTGCCTCTTTGCACTAAATTTTTTGTTTTGTAAGATAGTTTCTTTTCATAAAAATAGATTTATATTAGTCTATAATGGGTTTATTATTTTTAAATGAATCAGTAAGTAAAATTCAAGAATTTCTTAGCTTTAATTTCTAATACATTAAATACTGATAAATATAATCCACATAATCAGAAATCTTTGGGATCCAAGTATAAATGGATCCTGAGACTAGAAAATTTGAGAACCACTGTTCTGGATGGTTGAATATATTATGTAAAGTTCTGCCTCCCCTCTGGGAAGACATGTGAATTAGAGCATTACCACTGATCCAGACTCGGAGAGGGAAGCTGGTTTGTAGAGGAGCTCAGAGGCTCTGGAGCAGTTAATGAGATGACACGGAGCAAGCACCACTTTAAGAATACCACTTACTCTAATATTAATAATGATAATAATAGCTAACTTTTGAGTGCTTACCATGTGCTAGCTGCCGCTGTAAGGGTTAGGTTAGGGTTCGTGAACCCCCATCACAGCCCTATTAGGTACTATTTTTGTACTGTTGTCCCCATAAAACTGAGGCACAGATCGGTAAGCAACTTGTTCACCATGGCACTCTCTCTGTCTTTGATTACTTCTGGGGAATAAATAATACTGTTTTTAGCAATTTGTTATTTTAATAGATTTCTGTCCACTAGCCTGGGAATCTAAGTATTAATTATAATACAAATTCAGATTGCAACCAAAAAGGACTTTAAAATGATCATCGTTTAGTTGGGGACTGCCTACACTGCTGTTATTCAGGAGGATGATCATCATTCCTTTAATGTCTTACTTGAATTGTCTTAGCTTAATCTCATGCTAGAAAACTGGGAGTTGAAAGGCAGTAGTAAATGCTGAATGAACATTCATTTTTCTTTGTCCTTTGAATAAACAGAAAGAGGAAGATGCAAGTTAAGGTGGCTTTTAAAAATATATGTACATATGTAATACATATATAATTTCTGTCCTTCCCAGGGAAATAGGGAATTTTTAATTTGTTTCTAAAATAAAATTTAGGCCAAAGCAGTTAAATTGACCTTAGTTTAATAGTATTTGGTTAATGGTACTGCTTCTGGATGGAAATTCAGGCCAATTAGAAGTGAGTGCAGGGGGCCGGCCCCGTGGCTTAGTGGTTAAGTGTGCATGTTCCGCTACTGGGGGCCCGGGTTCAGATCCTGGGCACGCACCGACGCACCACTTGTCCGGCCATGCTGAGGTGGCGTCCCCCATACAGCAACTAGAAGGATGTGCACCTATGACATACAACTATCTACTGGGGCTTTGGGGAGAAAAAGGGAAAAAAAGGAGGAGGATTGGCAATAGACATTAGCTCAGGGCTGGTCTTCCTCAGCAAAAAGAGAAGGATTGGCATGGGTGTTAGCTCAGGGCTGATCTTCCTCACAAAAAAAAAAAAGTGACTGCATTTGTGTCAGATCTGTGGTATCTAGGGAGCCACTCTGAAATTATAGCAACATGAGAGAAGGAGTAAGATAAGGATATATTGTTTTTATCATAGAAAAGGCTAAAGAATAATCTCTTGAAAATCTGGTTGGGTCAAGGTATATCTACAAAAAATATAAGTTAGCAAATACTGAGTATCTACTAGGTCTAGGTATGGTGGTGGGCGCAGGGACACAGATAAACAAGAGTGTTTCTGTCTGGTATCAATACCATTCACAATCACAAATCCATGCGTTAAAAAAAATCTTTATTAAATGGGTTGAGTAATATAAAGAAAATTATTCTAAAAAAGAAAAAGTAAATCAAAATATATTTCCAGATGGAAGACAGGATGTTATAAATTTGTTACTTCTTATTGGATTAGCTATATCATTCTACGAAAATGCCAACGAATGAAGGTTGAAGAAATCTTGACAGACTTTTCTCAGGTTTTTCTGGAAGAATTAATAGGCAAAAACAGCAAAGACACTTTTGAAAAAAAAAAATAATGAGTATGATCTTTCTAGATATTAAGACTTTATGATTCTATAATTAAAGCTGTGTGATTCTGGCATAAAAAGTAGATAATAAATTAGTAGTACAAAAATAGCTTAGAAACAACCCTCTCTGTGTAAGTTTCTCAAATAAGTTGGGAGGAGAGGGATTAATCGATAGAGTGGTGCCGGGGCAGTTGCTAAGCTATTTGGAAAGTAAACTCACTTTAGTCATCAGCTCCCATGAAAACCAAAATAATACCAGATGAACTAAAAAGTTAGGGGTAAAAAGAAGAGACAATTTAAAAGCAAAAATACGCTAAAAGAAAAGAGAAATGACTGTGACTCTTGGACGGGGAAAGTTTTAGTAAGCTTAAAAGCATCAGAATGCATCTTTGACCAAAAACAAACAAAAAACAAGACGAAAGGAATTAAAAATAAACCAAAGTGGGGAAATTTGATAACACATATGATAGATATAAGGGCTAAAGAACATTAATATATGAAGAGAATATAAAAATAAGAAAACTTTAAATGGGCAAATAATATGAATATACAGTTCAAAAGGTGTAAACATTTGGCTCATAATAACTTGGGGAAATGTTCATTCTCACTAACAATAGAAATCTAAGTTATAAATACTTTATATAAAATTTCAAAGGTTTCTTTTTGGTTGGTTTTATTTTTGTGTTTACTTTCTTGTATTTTACTGAAACCATCTACTGCTGGCTAACTTGAAACTGTCCTCATGAAACAGCATTGTAACTTAGTACCGCCTTTTGAGAAAACACTTTGTAGTGTGTATCAGCTTATAAAATGTTCATGCTTCTCCAGTCAGTAATTCCACTTTGAGGAATTTTTCCTGAGGAGTCAATTGGAAATGCAGATAACTGTTTAGGCACAAAGAAATTTCTAATATAAAAAATATTGAAACTAGTATACATTAATAACAAATGGCTAAGTAAATTATGATAAATCAGTTCAGTGTAACCATTAAAAATATTTGAATTCTTGACGTGAGAAGATGAATGTTGAAGATTAAAAATCTTTTAATGGTGTTAAACTGTTTTTAAAATGTCCACAACCAATGAAAAGGGGGAGAATGTGTCAAAATGTTTACCATGGTTGACTGTATAATAATATAGTGATTTTTTTTCATTCATCCTTATTCATTTTCTTACATATCTAATTTTCCACAGTGATTTATAATCAGAAAAAAAATGATTCAACCTTTGAGGAAGTTAAATTCTTTTTTGTTTTTGGGGCCGGCCCACTGGCATAGCAGTTAAGTTCGTGTGCTCCGCGTCAGTGGCCCGGGGTTCGCCAGTTCGGATCCTGGGCGTGGACCTACTCACTGCTCATCAAGCCATGCTGAGGCAGCGTCCCACATAGAGCAGCTAGAAATGTACAACTATGACATGCAACTATCTACTGGGGCTTTGGGGAGAAAAAGGGAAAAAGGAGGAAGCTTGGCTCAGGAGGATTGAGGAAAATTGAGGAAGATGTTAGCTCAGGGCAAATCTTCCTTAAAAAAAAAAAAGTCTTGTTTCTGAGCATTTTTGATTGCTGATGTTTAGTGTTTTAGTAGATAGACTCACAGGGAAAAATAATACATTCTTAATATTTCCTAAATTCTACAGGTTCTTTAAAAAAAAAAAAGATAAGTTACATTTCCTATTCAGGTCACTCTATGGAAATTAAATGAATGTCCCATAATTGGTTATCTGGTAAGTTTAAAATTTCAAGTAGGTCCTTAAGTATTGTCACTTCTTTCTCTGCTTCCAGTGGTGTATATATTTGAATTATCCCAAGTAATGATGGGTTTTTATTCCAGTTTACACCATGGATTCATTTCCATTTCAAAAGATACTTTAATTTACATTTTGTATTGTGTTGTATTTATAATCAGATATGGTAAAGGACTGAATGGCGAATTCCCCTTTGTCTGCTGAAGTGCTCCAGCTTTTTTTTTTTTTTTTTTTTTTTTT